TATACACGTGGCCCCGTCATTAGTAATAGTTAATATTAATTGAATCACATTACAGCAGTGACCCCTCGCGTTGCTGACAAAACCATTGTATCTTCCGCAGGGCCACCGGCTTCTAGGTGCACTTTAGGGTATTGAAAAGGGCACCTAAAATTTTTTTCCCGGAAATGTTGGCGACAAGGGTTGGACTGGGGGGGGGGGAGTGGGAGAGAAGAAACATTTTCCCGTCGTACGGCACTCGTACAATACTGAAATTGCACGTTATTGACCAAATTTTTTAAAAAAAACTTGGAAATTTCCTAACAAAAAGGGCACCTTTGATGTTAATTTAATATTTACAGCGACATTAGCTTGTACAAAAGGGCACTTTTCATCACAAAAACGGGCACTCTTAATCACAAAAAAGGGCACTTTTAGTCCTTTGAAAAAATTTGAGGTGGCACGTACCCCCCTTGTCCCCGCCCCGGTTCCTACGCCCCTGATCTTCCGAACATGAAGTGTTTAAAGTAGTTGTCATGATAACACGATAATTTTGTTAAGAATATTTTTACAAATGAAAAATCTCCCCCCCTCCCCCAAATATGACTTTTAATTATAGAATTCCCAATTCCCCAAACATATATATGTTAAGCTTCAATTTAAGGTAAAATTCAACCTCAAACGCTTCGCAAGACGTTTTAAAATGTTTTTAATAAAATTAAACTGTCTGCTTTATCAAAAAACTTCGAGTTTGCAATAAAATGATTTCATTTCTCGCATTCAAACGACTTTGCTTTCTTTTTAATATAATAAAAAAGGTTAATCAATAAAGAAACACTGAAATTATATGCTGTCTTTTTCATTTAAAATATATACGCAACGATCACAGCTTCAAAGCCGTTAATCGGCATTATAAAGCGAACAATATATACATGCCACACATCAATATTTAAAACAAACCTACCTTTCTTAACGTCGGTGCCTTTACTCCCTTCTTTTAGTAATTCTTTCGGCCTTATTTTCTTAAAAAGCTTTGAAATTCACAAAATCTTGCAAAAATGAAATATATTTGCAAGTAATCATCATTCATCAAATTAATCAAGAAGTGTTTGCTATTTCGCTGTCGTCATGCAGTCGTTATAATGCAAACTTTAAATTGGACCAGTCAGTGTCCGCTATTCATGACAGTCCGCCATATTTTTGACATCAGTGAGGATGACCTCCCACCGAAATTTCGTTGGTGACCCACGCCCGCGATCATTGATAAACTTTAAACTTCCCTCTTGCTTTCGTTTCCCCAGGTGTAAATAGCCGAGCGGAATTAGTACCCTCGCCCCGGGCTTACGCCCGAAACGGCGCTCGGCGCTGTTGGATCGGGTATAAAATATAAAAAATAAATCTCCGCCTCTTCGACATTTTCAGAGTGTAGTGATGAGAATCAAGGAATCTATTTTATGTAGCCTTAAACCAGGTCGAAGTTGTCCTGGGGCCGGTTGTATCCAGAGAGATTTATTTAATTAACAAGAGTATTATTTAATTTTGACTTATCCACCGATTAAGGTAAACGGGCTTGATACTGTCAACCGGCCCCTGGTTACCTTGGAGGTTCGTATCTTCGATTCAGTACATGCTATGCCTATGTAGATAAAAATTCCACCGTTCGATTCATTGAAGCAATATCTCCTAATTTCTATCGATAGTTTTACTAAAATATCAACATTATAGCGATTTAGCAAGGCCTTTGAAGGTCAAGCGTGACGAAAATATAGACTAACTAAACCGATCATTACTTCGGCCCCTTCGAACGTATCTTCTTTGTAATAGCCTTGTTCGAATCGCTATCAAAAACACTATTTAGGGTGTTATTTTTGAGCTTGTATCTTTAAATTTGCATCTTTTATTATGGTATTCCATTTCTGGTGGCGGATAAACAAAAAAGGCCGTTGTTTTCAAAACGGAAAGCCCATTTCGCCAAACAGAAGATGCAATATTATAGATTTCTTCTACAACGGCCTTTCTTGTTTATCCGCCACACTTCTATAAATACAACTGTAATATAAACATTGTCATTTGACCCTGGAAACGGTCAATTTTGAACAGTTCAACGCGCGTTGCGAACGCAATGTCCGATGAATTAACATTAATTCTGCATAATTATAGTTCAACCAATCACAATTCGTCCCAACTTTTCTTGGGAAATTCACGTGACCATACAAGCTTCATGCCACGGATTCGCAGACTATATATGTCATTATATAGTCTGCGCGCAGGCTATTTCTGATCTAACTTGTGAACTAATTTTAAAACGTTAAAACATTTGGTTAATAATTAACATTTAACCGTTGATTGAAACTACAAATACTAACCAATCCATTTTTTACGTTCACCAGCGGACGGGTAATTCAAAAACACCTGGTTTTGCGGCAGACGGTATTTCCCTTGCCACCCTAATTTTCGCTACCTGTAGAAATACCGCCTGCCACGCAGGCTAATCCTACAGCGTTTACTTTCTTCAATAAGGTAGTTAACAATTTAATTGTTATTTCAAAACAATAAAAAACGTTAAAACAACTTCAAATACTTTTTCACCGGCTTGTCTTTTCGAGTGCATCGTTTTTTAAACCATATTAATTTTCTGATATATTAACTAGCTTCAAACGCAAAATGTTTAATCACCCTTGCGCGAAAAGACCACATGATAATGCAAACATTCAGACACTGATTGATGATAATTGAGATGTAATTAATTAACAGATATCTCCCCGTTAGATGTGCGAAAAATTATTACGAGCGCAGATTTGGCACACGTGTTACTATTGATTATGCACATTCCAAACATTACTGAACTACGTATAACATAACAAACAATTACGAACAATGTATTGCATCATTCTCATAGCGAGAAATGTAATTAAACAAATTTAACGAAGAGTTTTAAAATGTCCATACCATGTCCATTACTTTCTTGTCAATTTCCCAATCTCTGCAGGAAAACATTGATTGAACTTATGCCGTGCGTCCATTACACTTTTGTAGCTGCTAAATCGCCAATTGTACACGCAATTAGCACGACTATGTGTGCACTTGCCAGGTAAAAATTCTCCAAGGTAATGTTTGTAGAATGTTTGACTGTAGGTTTTCGTTTTCAAACTGAAGGAAGTAGTGTATGTGAAGGAATGTCCTCCCTTGCATGTTATCGTGACTTTCGCTGGTACTCGTGAATTATCAAATACGTATCGCTTTGCGAAACCGACTATCATTGCGGCGCCCGGTGTTTTATAACTAATTTCTACACCTGATCCTGTAGTTGAAGTAGTTCCTGTTGTTTTTTCTCTGGAGCTCCCCCACGTAACCGCGCCACCAACGGAGTAACCAACAGTCGCAGAAACGGATCCACCACTTCCCAAAAATTTGGCGCTTGCTTCAACAGTGACACTTGCGCTTACCTGCCAGTTTACCTCGGTAGATTTAGTTGTTCCCAACGTGAGCTCTTCCGTAAGATCCTTTGATTGTTGAAGGATGAGGGTGTGTTCTCCTCCAGAGCAACTGGCCGCTGTTGTTACACCAATAAGTTCCTCTCCGTCGAATTTTGCATCGTCCGCAGTATCGAGAATCTGCACCTTCGTCGGTTTGCAGCCAGCACCTTTTATCCAGAACTCGTCCGATATGTCCTTTCCACAGCGAAATTCTGCATTTTTGACATTTCCCTTATCGCCTCTCCAAAACAACGGACAGTTTCCAAAACCAATAGCCCACAGACCATTAGGTCGTGGTTTTATGTAGAAAAGATCTTTGATGGGCTTTCCGCAACGAAACTGGCCATTTTTGACATTTCCTTCATCGCCATTCCAGTATAAAGGGCAGTTTCCGGAACCAATTGCATACAGGTGGCCACGTTTCTTAATCCACATGGGATCTCCTTTAGAAGTACCGCACCGAAACTCGGCATTCTTTCGATAACCGTCGTCTCCTCTCCAGAACAAATGACAGTCATGTCCAAAACCGATTTTAAGGTCTGTGGTCCCTACAAAGATATCTGGAGACATGGGCGTGGTGCAGGTCGCTGTATGGAAACATATAAATGCTATGGTAGCAATCAACTTCATCTTTATAGCGGAACTAAAGTAAATAAAAAGAAAATTAGAAATTTGGAAGAGGAATAAATAGTTGATATCGAATACGCGCCAAACCGCACAAAACATAAAATCACGCGTCAATTAGTCGCAAAACTGCATAAAGATATGGGGGAGATAATCTCAGCGCTTCTCGTCTTGTAGCTAGTAGAATAGAATAGAATAGAATGGAGTGGAATGGAATGGAATAGAATGGAGTCAAATCTGAGACTGAATATTAACCATTGCAATAATATATAAAACAATACAAGGTGTAAGAAATTCCACTCAATTTGTTGGCTCCTGTGCACCTCGACGGTTTTCATGCCAACAGGTACCCATTAACTTTCTTGTCATGTGATGAAATTTGACGACTGTTCAATAGTTGAGGGTTAGGGTATTAATTAGGTTTATTATGTGCCAAGCATCATTTCCGGTGAAATGGCGGACTTTGATTGGCTGAGAAGCACTTTCAGTGATCCATTATTTTCCCGTATTGGACCGGAGGTCTATTACGTAAAAGCAAGCGCATGTATTTTAAAACAAAGCAGCAAAACTAATTAAAAATTTGAAAATCATAATTTAATTTGTTATTAATAAGATGTCTGCGAAATAGTTTTAAGGGGGCTCTCTACAGTTTCCAATATATGTCAGTGTTTTAAACTAAAAACAATTTGATTCTAAAAAAACTATTTTTTGCAAAAGCCATTGTTTCCTCTTATGTAAAAGAGTAATTTTACCCTCCAATCGCTACTCTTCACGCTACCATGACAACATGACGTCACCATCTGTATGGCCTATATCAACCAAAAATGCTGCCTTAGCGGATAAATAACCACGATAAAAACCTACTTTTTTATTGCAGAAAATACATTGTTATGAAGTTTTGATTTTTTTTAAAGCTATTTGAAAATCCACAGTGTAGTTTTCAAGAAATTGAAGTCCAAACTTTCCAAAGGTTAAAATGCAATCTTAAAGGCTGAAATTCAGTTTCTCGAAAACTACATTTGCGATTTTTAGATAAGTCTCAAAAAACATTCAAAATTTCATAACAATGTGTTTTCTGCAATAAAAAAGGTAGGTCACCGTGGTTATTTGTCCTTTAAGACGGATTTTTTGGTCGATATAGGTATAGATGGTGACGTCATGTTGTCATGGTAACGTGAAGCGTAGCCATTGTGGATTAAAATCACTCTTTATATAATAGGAAACAATGGCTTGTGGAAAAAATTAGGTTTTTTTAGATTCAACAAGCTTGTAGTTTAAAACTTATTTTGGAAACTATAGGGAGCCTCCTTAACGGCGACAACTATACCAACGATCATTAAAGCGTGTTTTGTGTTTTACTGTACATACTGTACATACTGTACTGCACCTAACCAATACTTGACATGCGGAAACTGAGCAGCTTATAAATTCTGCAAATTATTAAAACATTCTGAGTCTCCCATTTAATCTACGCTATACTCCCATTATCTACTGTATCTATAGTCTTCTTGTTAAATCTATATTCTTCTTAAATTGTTTGTAAGTTGTGTTTCAATCTTCTATTCTGGAGAAAAACTAGCCAACAAGTCGTTCTCAGATTTCTACAAAGATACTTTGAAACAAGTAAAAATTGAAGCAATTATATATTCTCATATATTTAAATTTAATCTTTTGTTTCCAGTTAAAATGGTTGCGAAACTGCCGAATGTGCAAAATGTGAAGAAAGCGGAGATTAGACAGCCACTTCGCTGTAAATTAAATTCCTTGCGATTTAGCAAAAGCAAGTCAGGTTACGATGACCTGCCACTTTTTGGTTCACCATGCCAGCTATTCTGATCGGCGCATTATTGCCCCCCTCCCCCTTCAATCCAATGTGAGTCCCGGGGTCTTAGGCATTTAGCTAACCATCACATAATAATGTCACGAAAGAAATGAGTTTACCTGCTAAGTTAAAGTTTATGATTATGATTGCTGATCAGGCCCATACTTCCATCAATATATTTTATAAAACTAGTAAGAAAATGATTATCTATAGTGAGCACGGTCTTCTCTCTAAGTGCAAAAAATATTTCGATGCATACAAATGTTTTCCTTGCCTTTACAGACTTTACGCTGCGTTCTAGTCATACAGCCGTATTCCGAACGTCTTGCCCACACGGATAACTTTCAAATATAATATTTAAGCCCCTCTTAAATAACAGATGTTTAATAATTACCGTACAAACTTCAATGTGCTAACACGATGCTATGGTTAAATATCTTTTTCTTTGTCCATCTTTTCAGGTTGTATAGAACGTTAGGTTACCATCATATTTTGTGGTATCAATGCAGTTTCAACACTCAGATACACGTACCCGCCCCCCCCCGCCCCCGCTCCTCTCTCATACAAAAGTTGCATTATCATTTGTTGTAGGCACTTAATGTGTTGGGAAAGAAGGGGTATAATACAATAGCGTGTGTGTGTGTGTGTGTGTGTGGGGGGGGGGAATAATAATTATTTATGTTTTACCATAGCTACTGTCGTTAAAAATATTTTTATTATCCATGGTTTGAGTTTGTGGAACGTTAGCCTACCAACTTCTTTTGTGGTATTAATGCAGTTCCAACACTCTCTTTCTGAAATATGTATGCAAAATGCACAACTGTAATGCAGTCTTTATTTTTCGCGACTTGGCCCTATTCGGATTGGCTTTAGATCAGTGGTGTACTACTTTAGATTGCCTTTAGATCAGTGGTTTGGCTTTACATCAGCGACTTGGCCCTATTCGGATCGGCTTTAGATCAGAACTTTCAAAATATTTTAATCATATAAATAATAATTGTGTACAAAAATTTATTGCGACAGAGGAACTTAATTTAATTGATTTGGATATCACAATATTGAATGTCTACAAATTAAGCTAGTTTAGATCCGCCCATTGTTGCAACACTGAACAACTATCGACGAGAACAGCAGTTTAGCACTGAAAGAGCTAGCTATCCATGATATCTAATGAAAGTAAAATTGTAAAACCCAAATGATATCACGAATGTTCACAACAAAGAAGCACATTTTACAAGAATAACAGTGAACAAGAAATAGGTAGGGGGAAGGGAAATTTATACTTATAATAAAAGCTTATTATAATAAAATGTGCTGGGACAACCAAAGGTTAGTGGGTAGATTCTTATCTTTGCCCTAAGATGAAGAACCAATTGATGAGTTCATAAAGAATGCGACTGGTGCTGGGCAACATGGGACAGTTACACCACCAAATCTTCTATCACAAGGGGAAGTCATTTTAAAAACAAATTGTCCACTCTTTGATGGTGCTGATTGCCTCATAAAACAACGTCAGTTACCCAAGCACAGGCAAAAATGATTATGCCTTTCCTTGCAAATAATATATTTATTAATTTAAAGTGCCTATGGCATGAAGTTTCACCCCAACGGTTTATGGTTGTATTGTAAACGTCATTTAAAATGACTTAATAATTTCTTTTATAGAATTTTGGTAACTTGCTCCCTCTTCAAGATATTCAACTTTGTTTCATATGCAAATATCACCGGTGTGACATCACATCACATAATGAGTTTTCAGAAAAGTATAGTTTTCCTGACGAATACGTATCTAAAAAACTTAAAAATTGCCCTTGTATATGTGTTAATTTCATAACTGGTAATTAACCCTGTCATTATGCGATGTGATGTCACACCCATATTTGCATATGAAACAAAGTTGATTATTATATGTCAATAGTCAAAGTCGCATTTTTCTAGTGTTTTATTGGTTGAGAGCATATCACGTGAGAGGGAAGAAAAAAGGCTGTCTCTCTCGCAACAGCGCGAGAGGGAGTTAATACGTTATCGACCGGCGAATAACAAAAAAATTCACGTGCGCCGTCACGTGAAAATGCGACCTTTGGACATGCCTAGTACGTAATTAAAACTTTCGCTATAGGTAACTGCAGTGTAGCCAGTGTTTAATGTTAACGTTTTAACAATAAAATGTTTCATGTATTTACGTTAATTTATTCTTTAATTTGTTGTTTCTTTGACTATTGATATATAATAAAACACTTATTTACTGACCTCGGGAAAGCACCTCGGGAAAGCAGTAAGGAAACGATATTAAGGAAACTTCGGATTGATAGAGATTTAACATAATAATGCATGTGAAATACGAGAACTTCAAGTTCTCATATTCTTCAGGTGTTGCATCGCTATCAATCCGCTGAAGTTTTGCACTTTTGTTGTTTTTGGGGTTTTTTTACTATTGGCACAACCTACACTGCATGGCACAGACCGCCAAAGCAACAGTACTCTTCCTTTCACAATGAAAGTCGTCCATTGATAAACTCACTAACAACAATTTAAAATAGTGCATCCTTGGAGGAGGGGTGTGGGTTGTGTATGAAACAGAATGACCATAAACATTAAGGTCCTCAAGACACTCAATTCAGTATAAAGTTCTATATAATCTTTTTTTAGTTCCCATTTAGTACAAAATTGAAATTATACTTTAACTTTGGCCACTTCATTTATATCATCGTCCAAGTATTAAGATAAATTGATATTCTATATCTTATATATCAATCAATCGATAACCACATACCTCGAATAGTTTGCTGAATGTAAGTGGTTTCTTGTAAATTGTTTTGTAAAAATTATTTAATAAGTTCTGTGTATGTTTGCATGGCGATAAAACATATAATAGCTTTGTTTGTGGAAACACCACGTAAATTTATTACTGCAATAATAAATACATTAATAATTCATAAGCTTATTGGCAAATCATGTCAACCATAATATGTCACGTGCAGGGGCTTTAAACCTGATAAAATACTCCTAATTAGTATTCTTTAAATGAAGAATACTAATAAGGCAGTATCTATTGTAGTCGTGCCCTCATTAGTATTCTTTATATAAAGAATACTAATAATTAAGGCAGTATTTCTATTGAATTTGTAGTCGTGTTTGAAGCCGTTTAATAAACTCGCAGGTCGTGTTTTATTAGGTCTAAAGTCACTCGCGCTGCGCGCTCGTGGCTTTAAACCTAA